CTCGCTATTGGGAGATGGCGTGTACCTTTTAGTACCGAATTAATGGCCTCAACAAGGTTTGTGGTCATATGTCCGTATCTCCGACCTTCATCGTATGCTTGCGACCATTTTTCCCGCGGTATTTTTGAAGCCCACTTCCAAACACGCTGATCATCGTAAAATACCTTCAAATTCTCCAATCTCTTGTCAAAATTTGGTCGACGTAGTTCGTATCCTGTTCCATAATATATTGTGTTAAACCGCAATTAAAAAACCACGTAAAAATACACAAATATTGAAAATAAAACTTACCCATGCTGACTATCTCGCTACGAATATGTGCGTTATGAAACTGGTCGATACTATTCTTGCCAATATGATGGATACAAAATGTCGGATATGCATACGGAGGTATCCAACGACTTCCTGGTCGTTCAATTGCCGCCAAAATACCCGTTCCTCTATCGGATATCAAGCAAACTCCATCTTCACGAACGACATATTGACGTAGATTGGTCAGAAAGAAATCCCAAGCCTCTGTTGTCTCTCCCTCAACAATGGCGAATGCAATTGGGAAGATATTTCGCTCACCATCTTGAGCAACTGCCATCAAAAGTACATGCCTATATTGACCATACAACCACGTACCATCTACTTGGATCATATGTTTGCAAAATGGAAATCCTTCAATACATGCCTTGAATGCCCAAAATAGTCTATGAAATATTTTCTTCCCTGGCAGAAGTTGACCTTCTTCGTCATATGCGGGCATGGTTTGAGACTTCACTATAGTTCCTGGGATAAATCGCTTCATTGCTTGTAGCAAATGTGGTAGCTCATTGTACGATGTATCCCAATCTCCATACGTCAACTTCATTGCCTTCATTTTCGCATTCCACACCTTGCCATATTTTACTTGATATCCAAATTGGCTTCGAATAGATGCAGCTAACACTGAACAAGATATCCTTGGATCCTTTTCAACCATCGCCTTCACGTATTCACATATTACATCGGAGTCCAATAGTCGGTGGTCTTGTTCGATGGAGTTTCGCAAACATGTGTGCGAACCATTGTACCTCGTGATGACCCAAACATCGTGCCTTTGATTTTTCGACACTCTGATCTTCCACTTGCACTCTGGGCCATATTTTACACACTTTGCGTATAGGGTTTTCTGGTTGGACTCTGCAACATGGACATCAACATGGCATTTAATGCAGTACTCTTTAATAGCCAGCGTAGCTTCATTTTTTCCTCTGAATTGCACCCCAACTGAAAATTCACCAGAATTATCGAATGATTCAGTCATTTGGTACGGAGGTAAATGTGGCATGTCTGGGAATTCAGGTGCCCTCATTGCATCATAATCTATCTCGTACATGTGAGAGTAGCTTCATACGGTGTCGGAACTTCATCAATTGCACCTCCACCAAAATATTTTCGTCGCCGCCCAAAACGGGTTCTTCAGTTTCTTCATCTTCGCTTGAATCATCATGAATTTCTCCCCATCGATTTTCAGCGTCAATATCAACAACCAATTCCGGTATGTTTCTCGTCTCATACTCTGCTGCTATAGATGTCCCCCGACTTCATTACACTTTCCAATAGTGCCATAAAACTGTTCGGGAACCTGTATGTCGGCTCCTCAACTGACTATATAAAGCCATTTCAGATGGATTTTGAGCCACACCTCTTGATGACCCAGGAACATCACATATGTTACGCACATCAACAAATAATTCAATAACTGCTATATTGGTTGACTCATGTAATCCAACCATGGTTCCAATATCATCATCTTCTTCAAGTGGAACTGCAGCATATCTGACTGGGTTAGAGCATATCATAAACCTATACCTCAACCATCCACTGCAGCTCGAATTTTTCTTTCTATCTTATGCTTCATTTCTATAAATGTGATGTCTTTTTTGAACATCATATTTATTGGTTTTTCAGACTGAAAAATACTCCGACCTCATTTCCTATCTGTCCATTATAATGGACAATCGTGAAAAGTTGTTGCTCATTTTCTCTACAAATAAAAAAATAAATTAATTTAGATTAAAAAATTAGATAAGATAATTTCATAAATTATTAAATAATATAATATACTATTATATTAATGATCAAATAAAAGTTATTATTAACTTGATTGATTGCTTACTAATAAACCTAATAATGATTTGATAATTACTATTAATCTAATGATTTGATATTTAATGATTTAATAATAATATGATTTAGTCATAATCACTAATAATTATATTTTCACCAGATATAACAAAGGACAACTAACCACGTCTTCGCAACTTCAGATGTGGGGTCTCCAGCTCCATCTTGTTGGGGTATATAGCCACCACCACCACCATTATTAACTGTGTAGCAAAATCCTCACGTTTTCGCTTTCCAGGAGGCATCATAAAGAAATCCTGGTATTTTCTCCAATATTAAAATTAATCACCAAAGGTAACAACAGCTCATTTCAACATGGGAACAAGGATTTTGAAGGGCATATTCCCATAACATTCAGAAGTTACTATAACAACCAAACGTCATTATGCAGCCTGGCGTTACTAAACCAGGAGTTACCTGCGTCAGGGGTTGATTTGAGGTTCCTCTGTCCACTTCATCCCGCCCTTCCACATAAGCTACTTGAAAATAGAATTTAATTGTTAAGCGTTAACAAACCATGTGCGTTCAAACTGATACTCGCTTAACTTAATACTAAACCGACATTAAATCAACACTTAGTGGGGTCCTTTGATTTGCCCGAGAAGGAGATTGCTGTGAATGACAAACAAAAAGAGAATATCGGTAATCATCGACAACAAGCCAACAGCTACTTTTTCTTTAGAAGCAAGTAGAAACTTACAACAACTAAAGCACAATTTTCCTAAAGGAAAGTGGCAGTTAAAGAGTGATTCATACCATGTAAGGGCTTGGCCTTCCACCTTTTACCTCAGCATTACCACCGCTATCGTTCACAGGTGTGAGATAATCACTACCTCCAGTAGGGATGTTACATAGAGCCGTCAGCAGTTCTGGCAACGGTGTAGGCAGAGGTGTTTGCAAAGGAGTCTACACAATTAAAAACTCCTTATCAAAAGAAAAAAAAAAAAATTATCACCGCAATCAAACATCATAAAAAGCTGTTAAAATGAGCCCATTACCGGAGGGAAAAGCATATCAGCTGTAGGAGTTCGTACTCCTCAGCCCCTCATAAGGAACATTGAGATCGTGTACTGGAGTAATTGCGCTACCGGGAGCAGGTTGCTTCGACCTGAAGACCTCTTGCTCGACCAACGATAGCTCCCGCTATCATCATCTTCGTCTCCCAAAGCTAAAACCCAACATCCAACAATCAAGTCAACTAGATCATCTCCTTCCCGTAAGATCAATAACAAACCTTAGTGTATTCAATCAGATCAAATCTATAAACATAGATTGTCCCAAAACCTACTAATTTCTAAAAAACGGATACAACCCTAAAATCAAATTCAATGAAAGAAGGAAATGGAGAAGGCTTTTTACTGCTTGGAGTTCATTGAGGACACTTTCGCCTGGTCCACCGTTGTTGATAAACTCATCGCGAACCTTGTTAATGACGTCTTCGATGACGTGGATGTAAACCGCGCTCGTTGTCGACGACGTCATTTTTTGCCAAATCTTCTAACCAAGCTCCTCGGATTCTTCTCTTTCTTTTCTGACAAATATATCAATTTTGGATCTTTTTTTCTGGGAAAATTTTAGGAGAAAAAGCAGAGAGTCGTGAGAAGGGAGGGATTTAAAATTTGATCGACGGAGTGAAATCAAAGAAAGGGAAGCTAGGGTTTGGACTTTGGAGAATCGGAGCTTAACAGATTACAGAAAGAGGGAATGGACAGAAAGTTTAGGGGCGGACGAGAAAATGAGACTAAAAGAGTGCAATATAAATAGGTTTACATCCGTTTATAAGGAGCGTGGCCACGTGGCGTAGCTCAAGAGCTCGTTCAGTTTTTTTTTTCGTTTTTTCTTCTTATTTTCCTGCTGCGATGCGCTTTTTCTAGAACTACGCTCAGCATTAATACCGGCGCTTATAAATTATAATCGAATAAAGTTTTTTTTAATAAGAGACAAATATAAGATAATATATATTTAAATAAAAATTTTAAATATATATAATAAGTATTATTTGTTTTGTTTAGTCATATGTATATGATTTATGAATAGATTATTTTGGGTTGAATTTATTGAAGTTTATTATAAAAGCAATCATTCTAATTTAATTTATTCTATTCTAAAATGCTAAGTTTTTTTTTACTTTTTATCTAACTTAAGAGATCTATTATTCTAGTGATATTATTTAATACAATACAGAATTTTCTTAATATGTTTATTTTTATTTTAAATTTTATAATTCAAAACTTTAAGTTTTAAATTCTAAACTATAGATATGTGAAATTATTTTATTATTTATTATTATTATAGATAAATTTTAAATTCTAAACTATAGATCTGTGAAATTATTTATTTATTTATTATTAGTATTATAGATAAATTTTAAATTAGATTCTAATCTTATATAGAAAAAATAAAACTCTAGAGAAAGGAAAAGAGTGTTACTAATGAGTTTAGAATTAGTTATTTAAAAATATGAAGAAATAAAAATAACTTAATTAACTAATCAAATATGTTTAATCCATTTATAATTATTGTTAGGTACACAAATAATATAAATTTTACATAATGACCATTTATGAAATATGAACCATACAAAGACTTGGGTTTTATTGCTCAATATAGTAATCTTTTGTCACTACAGATCATATCCAACCAAGAATATAAGAGGCCCAATGTGCATGATGGCATCATATCATTCTTCAACGAACAATACTGATTATGTACCAGAAATGGCAAATCACGACATTATTAAAGGAAAGACAGCAAGAAACAAAGAAACTACCCCATTCCCCGGAAATTGGAATCCCCTCTATATAATTTCAAATTCTCAAGACTCAAAACACATTAAAAATTATTTCTTTGAGTTTGTTTGTGATCGAAGAAGATGAAGTTTGGGAAGGAGTTTGCAGCACAGATGGTGCAAGAATGGAAGGAAGCATACATGGATTACAGTAATCTGAAATCGATATTGAAAGACATCTTAAGATTCAAACAACAAAACAAGCCACCAACGACGATGGCAACAGGAACGAGAAAAGGGTCATTGAAGAGAACGGTAACGCTTTATAGGGCATTTAGTGGATTGACAAATAAGTATAAGCCAGTTTCGTCAATGAAGAACCATGAGGACGAAGTTATATTAGTGAGCGCGGTTCAAGAAGGAGGGGTTGAAGGGGATTACCAGACAATGTTTCTTAGGTCAGGTGAAGAAGGAGGTGAGTTTGAGATGCTTTTCTTTAGGAGACTTGACGATGAGTTCAATAAGATTGTTAGGTTTTATATGAAAAAAGTTGAAGAATCTATGGTGGAAGCTGATGAGTTGAGTAAGCAAATGAATGCTTTGATTGCTCTAAGGATTAAGGTTGATAATCCAGTTGTGGGAGGAACTGATATGGTTGATCTTGCTGATCATGGGTTTTCTTCAAATCGTCATCAGTGGCTCATTCCATCAATGGGGAAAGCATGGACGGGCTCGGATGGATGCAACCGAGATGAGCAGTGATGGAATTTCAGTTGAAGAAATGAAGGAAGCTGCTAATAGGCACATTAGACCACCTCCATTACATGTCTTGGATCATGTAAAGATCAAAGTGGAGCTTGAAACTCCTATAGAAACACTAAGAAGTGTAATCAAAAGTTCAAAATCGGATTTTTCGTTCAGCAAGCAAGAACTGAGGAGTGCGGAGGAAAAAATCTCTCAAGCTTTAGTCGAATTCTATAGAAAGTTTAGGCTTTTGAAAAGCTACTGCTTCTTGAATCAGTTGGCATTTTCCAAAATCATGAAGAAATACGACAACGTGTCATCGCGAAATGCATCGAAATCTTACTTGCAAATGGTGGACAAATCTTATCTTGGAAGTTCTGATGAGGTTACTAAGCTTTTGGAAGGGGTTGAGGAGACTTATGTTAAACACTTTGCTATGGAAACCACAGAAAGGGACTGAAAACTCAAGGCCACAAGCTAAGAAAGAAAGACATAGAATTACATTTCTATGTGGCTTCTTTTCTGGTTGCTCCATTGCACTTATAGTGGAATTATTGTGAACATACATGCTAGAAATATTCTCAAGAGCCAGGGCAGAGATAAATACATGGTCAACATATTCCCACCTGTTTGGTTATATTGTCTTGCATATGCTCATGTGTGCTGAAAAATATACTTCTGGAAGCGATATCGAGTCAACTATTCGGTCATATTCGGTTTCGAGCAAGGAACAGAGTTGGGATATAGAGAAGTACTTCTTCTTAGCAGCGGGCTTTCACTGCTTGCATTAGCTGGTGTGATTTCACATTTGGATATGGAGATTGACCCAAGAACTAAAAGCTTCAGAACTCTAACTGAACTTATTCCCTTGTTCTTGCTCATTGCTGTCCTTTCAATAACATTCTGCCCTTTTAATATCGTATACCGTTCGAGTCGATTCTTCTTATCAGATGTGCATTTCACTGTGTTTGTGCACCTCTTTACAAGGTCACCCTCCCAGACTTTTTCTTGGCAGACCAGTTTACTAGCCAGGTTCAAGCAATTAGAAGTTTGGAGTTCTACATTTGTTACTACGGTTGGGGAAACTTCAGAGTGAGATCAAATACCTGTGAGAAAAGTGAAGTTTATAAAGTAGTTTACATAGTGGTTGCCGTTATTCCGTATTGGATCCGTTTCGTTCAGTGTCTTCGACGTTTGTTTGAAGAAAAAGATGTTTCACATGGTCTGAATGGTCTAAAATACTTCTCGACAATATCTGCTGTTGCGACTCGAACCATTTATCAAAACCGGGCTGAGAAAACTACTTGGCTGGTCTTGGCAGCTGCAACATCTGGCGTTGCAACAATGGCTAGCCTATACTGGGACATTGTCATAGATTGGGGGCTTCTAAACAGGAATTCAACCAACCCTTGGCTCCGAGATAAGCTTGCTGTACCACACAAAGGGGTGTATTACATAGCCATGGTGTTGAACTGTGTATTGAGACTAGCTTGGACGCAGCAAGTGTTAGGCATTCAAACGGTGCCGTTCCTGCATAAGTCAGCCTTGGTTGCAGTGGTTGCTAGCTTAGAGATCATTCGCCGTGGCGTTTGGAATTTCTTCAGGTTGGAGAATGAGCGTTTGAACAATGTGGGAAAATACAGAGCATTCAAATCGGTGCCCTTGCCTTTTTACTATGATAAAAATGGAGATAAGAGCATATAATACACATTCACATCTATGACAAAGTACACTGATTTTTTATTTATTATAATACAAGTTCAATGATGATTCCATTCTTATTTCATGATTTAATAAATTTATAATAATTATAGCCTACCTTTTCAATTCCAGATTCAACTTAAAATATAAATATTGTGAACAATTAAACAAATGGATTAAGTGGGTAAAGGTTTATATGGGGTGAACGACTTGGCAGCATTCATTTATTTTCATCAAAACAAGTAGGCCTTGTCACATCCTTCGACAATGAAACAAGCTCTCACTCCGCCTTCTTCAGGTGTCGTTAACACCCAAATCCCATTTTCTTCTTGTTTCAAACCCCGACTTAACACCCATTTCATTTTCTCTTTCGAACCCCTAACTTCCTCCTCACTTCCATACAAAAGCCCCATTTTGAATCAGATTCGGACCATGTCACTCCAAGGCATTGTTGCGGAAGACGGCTATCGGATAGAGCAAAATCGCAACTGATAATTTGAGAAAATAAAAATGAAGATAAAAAGAGACACAAAATTTACGTGGAAAACTCTTAAATAAAATAGGGTAAAAACAACGGGCAACGGTAGAAGAATTTCACTATGAGAAAATAGGAATTACAACTTCTCTCGATCTACTAAGGAGAAAGCAATGATAATTCTCTCTTGATAAAAAGGAGAAAACAACTCTCAAGAAACTCTCTAAATTCTCTCTAGTATTGTAAGAAAGCTAGAATGCTTTGGGATGGTTTTGAAGCTAAATGAGCTAGGGCATTTATAGTTGAAACTTAAGGACTAATTTGTAAATACCCTAAATTACAATGACTAAAAATGTGTTTTTACCATTGTCCAATTTCAACTAAAACCCAACCACTTTTCGGTGCCCTCCCAATTGTTTGACAATTTTAATATTTTTTTAATTATAATTTTCCACCTTTCGGTGGAATGCAACAATTTTCAACAATCTCCCACTTGAAGATTTGATTGGAACAATCATTCTTCACACCATTCTTTCTACCTTGTACCTTCATGTTGCTTACGTTTCTGACAGGCCACAGGAGGATCGACACCAGGTAAATTTATCAGCATTGATTGCCTTTGCCATGAAATCTGCTATGTTGTCATTGGTATGAATCTTCTGCATATATATCGTCCCTTCTTCCACCTTTTCACGAATGAAATGGTATTGAACTCGTATGTGTTTTGTCCTTGAATGAAATATTAGATTCCTTGCTAGATGCAAGGCGCTTTGACTGTCACAAAACAGAGAGACAAACTATTGATTGTGCCAAGCTCCTCCAATAGCATCTTCAACCAAATTGCTTCTTTACTGGCTTGTGTAGCTGCTACATATTCTGCCTCTGTTGTGGATGTAGCCACAACTGACTGCAATTTTGAAACCAGCTTACAGCTCCACCAACAACTTTGAACACATATCCTGTAGTAGATTTGTTTTTATCCAAATCCCCTGCATAGTCAGAATCGATATACCCATTTATAAGTAAGCTTGATCCTCCGTAACATAATGCAACATTTGAGGTCCCTTTGATGTATCTTAGGATCCTCTTTACAATATTCCAATGCTCTTTGCCTGGATTCGCCATGTACCACTAATCACTCCCACTGCTTGTGCAATGTCTGGTCTTGTGCATATCATAGCAAACATTAAACTTCCCACTGCTGATGCATACGGCACTTGAGACATCTCCATCCTCTCTTCTTCACTGCTAGGACTCATACTGGAGGATAATTTAAAGTTAATAGGAAGAGGGGTAGAAATTGGCTTACAATCTTGCATGTTGAATCGTGACAAGATCTTCTTCAAATAATTCTTTTGTGAAAGCCAAATCTTCCTATTACTTCTGTCTCGGTGAATTTACATCCCTATAATCTTGTTTGCCGATCCCAAGTCCTTCATTTCAAATTCCCTAGCCAGTTGTGCCTTCAATTCTTCAATATGATCTTTATTGGGTCCTGCAACCAACATGTCATCCACATACAACAACAATATAACAAAATCGTTATCACCAGACCTCTTGAAATAAGCACAAGGGTCAGCATTAAGTCTGTTGTATTCAAGGCACATAATGAAGGAATCAAATCTCTTATACCAACACCTCGGCCTGCTTTAGACCGTACAGAGATTTGTTCAACCTGCAAATCAAGTTCTTCTTTTCTTTTTCTTCAAAACCTTCAGGCTGGAGCATATAATTTTCTTCTTCAAGATTTCCATGAAGAAAAGTTGTTTTAACATCTAGCTGCTCTAGATGTAAGTCCAATGTAGCACACATTGCCAAAACTACTCGAACTGTTGTTAGTCGAACCACAGAAGAAAATATTTCATTGAAATCAATACCTTCTTTTTGAGCATATCCTTTGACCACCAGTCTTGCACGATACCTCTCAACTTGATCGTCACCATTTCGCTTGATTTTGAAGACCCATTTTTTACCAATTGGCTTCCTTCCTTGTGGTAGTGGCACAAGGTCTCATGTATTATTTTTATGAAGGGCTTCGATTTCTTCTTGCATCGTAATCATCCACAGTGAAGCATCTGAGCTGTTTATTGCCTCCTGGTATGTTGATGGCTCACCGTCCTCTGTTAAAAGACAGTATGCAATATTACCTTCTATAACATAATCCGAGTGCCAATTGGGACGTCTTCTCACACGATCTGATTGATGAGTTGTTGGAGCTTCAGAATTCTCTGGTTCTTGTTCATCTTGTACTGGTTCTGCTTCAAAAGAATCTCCTTGTTCAACCTCTTTTTCCACATATATCTATGTAGTCTCTGACTTTTCAGTGCTATCATCGTCTTCTTTTCTTTGTAGCTTGTCTTCTACAAAGATGACATCCTTGCTGATGATCACTTTATGGCAGTGGGATCCCACAAGCGATACCCCTGTACTCCATCAGCATACCCCAAGAATTTGTATTTCCTGGATTTTGGATCCAGCTTTGAGATTTATTGGGAGTTGTACATCACGTACATAATACTTCCAAATATATGGAGGTTTGAATAATCAGCTGGTTTACCAGTCCACATCTCCATTGGTGTCTTCAGCTCTATTGCAGTTGATGGAGCTCGATTCACCAAATAACAGGCGGTATTGACTGCTTATGCCCAGAATGATTTTTCTAGGCCTGCATCCCTCAACATTGCTCTTGTTCTTTCTAACAAGGTTTTATTCATCCGCTCTGCCACTCCATTTTGTTGAGGAGTGCTCGCCACTGTGAACTGCCTTTTGATGCCTTCTTTCCTGCAAAAGTCATCAAATTCTTTGCATGTGTATTCTCCTCCATTATCTGTTCTGAAACACTTGATCTTATTTCCAGAATCAAGTTCCACCCGCGCTTTGAAGTTTTTGAAAGTGGAAAACACATCTGACTTTTTCTTAATAGGGTACACCCAACATCTCCTAGAGTAGTCATCAATAAATGAGACAAAGTATTTTGCTCCGCCTAGGGATGTAACTGGTGCTTGCCATACATCAGAGTGAACCAATTCTAGAACACTTTTGCCTCTAGAATTTGATGTGTTGAATTTCAACCGGTGCTGCTTACTTGTTATGCAATGCTCACACAAAGGAAGTGATACATTTGTTAAGCCTGGAAGTAGCTTTTGCTCCACAAGGACTTTCATTCCTTGTTCTGACATGTGTCCAAGTTTCTGATGCCATAGCATTGCCGAATCTGAACTACATGAGGCAACAAGGCTTCTGCTTCTACCAAAGTCTCTCCCTTCAGCATGTACAAGTTTGCAGCTATCTTTTCACCTTTCAGCACCACAAGCGCTCCATGAAACACCTTCATGATTCATTTCCGTGTTTCAATCTTACTTGCATTATTATCCAACAATCCGTAGGATAATAAATTTTTCTTCAGGCCTTTCACGTGCCGCACATCTCGAACAACTTTAATTATTCCATCATACATCTTCAATTTGATGGTTCCCATGCCAATGATCTCTAAGGCATGATCATTGCAACTATACACAGATCCTCCTGAGACAGGTTCATAATGATGGAACCATTCTCTTCTTGAGGTCATGTGATATGTTGCTCCCGAATCAATGAGCCATATGTCTGCATATCTCTTTCTACCTTCCACGGTGGTTGACGCTTCATAGCATAGAACATCTCTATCATCTGAAGTGTTTGCAGTATTGCCTTGTGGATTGGAGTTTTTATTTAGACTCCAACAATCCTTCTTCAAGTGACCATTCTTTCCACAATTGTAGCACTTTAAATTCTTCTTGCTTCTTGACTTCGATCTACCATGTTTGTGACTGCTGCTTTGTCCACGTTCTGTTGATCTCCCTCTCATCGTTGTCAACGCTTCTGCTTGTTGCAGATTTACTTGTCTGTCTTCCTTATTCTTGCGCCGATTTTATTCTTGTAGAACAGTAGCTGCAACGTCATCGAAGACTAGACTGGTGACATTACTGTTTGTCAAGTTGATGATGAGTTATCATACGAATCCGGTAGACTTTGAAGTAGAAGTTCAGCACGTTCTTGTTCTCCTATTTTACAGCTTAAGGATGTAAGCTGAGAAAATAAAGTATTCAGTGTATTTAAGTGCTCCGTCACTGAAGTAGATTCTGAATACGGAGAGTGTACAATTTTCTCTTAAGGAAAATTTTATTGTGGAACGATGTGGCCTCGTATAATTTGGTGAGATGATCTCATATCTCATTTGTTGTCTTTTTTTCCTCGATGCTTGACAATACTTCATATGCTAATGCTAGATGAAAGTTTGTCATAGCATTCCCGTCCATTTCGATCCATTTGTTTTCATCTGTGAAATCCACCGGCCTTTCACTGATAGCTGCTAGACAACCGTCTTTCCTCAGGATGACCTTCATCTCAATTTCCACAATGAGAAATTTCTCCCATTGAATTTTTCAATATCAAATTTCGTTGTCATAGCTTCTTTTACGGATAGCTCCCACTATTTCAGTATCGTGAATAGTTCTCTAGAACCTTCAAAAAATGGGTAATAACTTCTTATTTTCTTATGTTGGAGGATCCACCTTTTGGTGGCAACCACAAAGACAATAAGCAGATATTACACACTCAAATCTGGCTCGGATACCAATTGTTGCGGAAGACGGATATTGGATAGAGCAAAATCGCAACTGATAATTTGAGAAAATAAAAATGAAGATAAAAATAGACACAAAATTTACGTGGAAAACCCCTAAATAAAATAGGGTAAAAACCACGGGCAACGGTAGAAGAATTTCACTATGAGAAAATAGGAATTACAACTTCTATCGATCTACCAAGGAGAAAACAATGATAATTCTCTCTTGATAAAAAGGAGAAAACAACTCTCAATAAACTCTCTAAATTCTCTCTAGTATTGGAAGAAAGCTAGAATGATTTGGGATGGTTTAAAGCTAAATGAGCTAGGGTATTTATAGTTGAAACTTAAGATTAATTTGTAAATACCCTAAATTACAATGACTAAAAATATATTTTTACCATTATCTAATTTCAACTAAAATCCAACCACTTTTCGGTGTCCTCCCAATTATTTGAGGTGGAATGCAACAATTTTCAACAGGCATGACAGCCCTTGTAACTGGCGGCACTCGTGGAATTGGGTAAAAACAAGAAATTCCTCCATTTTTATAAACATGAAAAAGCTTGTCCTTTTCGTTTTCATGTAATGTACAAGCAGAAAACTTTGAGATTTTTCTTGAACCGGCTTCTTTTCATTTTTTGCTAGGCATGCCATAGTGGAGGAATTGGCGGGACTTGGAGCAATGGTGCACACATGTTCTCGTAATGAAAATGAGCTTGACATGTGCTTGCTCGAATGGAAAGGTTTGGGCTTTGAAGTTTCTGATTCTGTATGCGATGTGTCCTTAAGAGCGCAAAGAGAGAGCTTAATGGAAAAGGTTTCATCATTGTTTGATTCCAAGCTCAATGTCTTCGTAAGTTTCTCTCTCTCTATTTGAATGTATCTGTTATGTTTGTTTATTTGCCTGTGAGAGTTATAGCAATATAGTCTAATGGGCCATGTTTCTCGAATTCAGTTTGTTTGTGTACTAATTGCTAGAAATGGATAAATGGGTCCTTTTTCTTCCTTTTATCTTAAAAGCTAAAATGGACCATTGGTTTCCTTATGTTGGGACAAACATAAGGAAACCAATGGTAGATTTCACAGATGAAGTTTCAACTCTTTTGACAACCAATTTTGAATCTGTATTCAACTTGTGCCAACTTGCATATCCACTTCTCAGAGCATCAGGATTAGGAAGTGTTGTATTCACCTCTTCGGTGTCTGGATTTGTTTCACTCAAGTCCATGTCACTACAAGGAGCAACTAAAAGTAGTATACATTTAAGAAGATAAATTTCACTGAAAATGCTAATATGTGAAGCTAAATTCCATAATCAAATCAATTATTTCCTTTTGCTTTACTTGGCTGTTGTGGTATATTTTGATGCCTAGGAGCTATCAACCAACTTACAAAGAACTTGGCTTGTGAGTGGGCAAAGGATAGTATAAGGAGTAATGCTGTTGCACCTTGGTACATCAGAACTTCCTTGGTGGAACAAGTAATTAGCTTTTCTCTCGCATTTCTTTACTATTTGCACTGGATCCTGATTACATTTTCACAATGATGCTGATTATCGTAGTGACTGGCAATGAATTTGATTAGCCGGCATTATAGCTTAGACTTAGATGCTTGTTTCCTGTGTCTAATACTTGTTACGTCGTTAGATTGTCTCAAGTTAACTTACTCCGCAGTAAGAATTCTGTGAGTTATTCTTAGCTGTTAAATGTAGTTTACAGGGCATGATGTCTTCTTTGCCATTTTGAATGTCAATAGCATATGCTCTCTCAGCAAGATTCAGGAAACAAAAACCGATGCATCGTCTAATTAGAATCTCTCTCTACAAATCATAGTATCGAAACCTTTTTGAGCTTTTGAGGTGATCTTCCAGTTTCATTAATCACACTACTTTTTTTCCAGGTACTCAGCAACAAAGAATATTTAGAGGAGGTGTATTCTCGAACCCCTCTACGACGACTTGGAGACCCGACAGAGGTTTCATCCTTGGTAGCATTCCTTTGCATGCCTGCATCATCTTACATAACTGGTCAGATTATATGTGTTGATGGTGGCATGTCTGTAAATGGTTTCGACCCAAAAATTTACTAGAAATCTGCTAGTTACTCAGCCCTGCTGAGATCCTTTCATATTTGAAGAACTTCTCCCCTGCAAAACATTTTTGTTTTCCTTGTGTGCCCATTTTGAATTATATCCGTTCTTGTCCAATCAAGATGATATGAATAATTATTTTCTTTTCTTTTTAAATTCTGCCATAGAAATGGGTATTCGTATAGCTCTTCTAGCCAGCCAAGAAGAGCTATCCCCAGCTGTCTCCATGTCTTGTGATTGAGCTACGAGACATTAAAATTTCTACGAAGCTTCCACAACGAACTTAGAACCCTAAACGGGTATAAACCTATCACCCGAGTAGTAAGTTCATAAATGGGTTAATATAAATGATAATTTAGATTTATGATATATAAAATAGAGTTAATTGCATGACATATCTTTAACATATGACCCTCATTATAAATTTGTCCTTAAACTTTTAAATATTTCAGTTTCATCCCTAAATTATGACTTTCATTCTAAATTAGTCATCAAACTTTTGAACATTTCAATTTAATCTCCAAACTATGGCCTTCATTCAAATTGGTCTCCAAACTTTTTGAACATTCTAATTTCATCCCAAATTTTACATATATATTCTAATCTCATTCTTTTTTAATAAAACCGTTAGGTCAAGTTATATTATTATATATTTGGAAAAAAACAAATTTTAGGTTAAATTATTATATGATATCCCTAGTTGTGGAGAACGAGTTGAAATCATCAAAGGGGACTTTGTTTTGCGTTAGAGTTGAAATTGTCACTGCTTGATTCCATAATCTTCTTCTTAGGATTTTAAGGGCTGCTAAGGATATCAAAATGGTGTAGTTTTAGGGATTTGAAGAAAAGTATTTCAAAGGGGATTTTGTTTTAGGGGTTTGGAGAAAATTAATAGTTAATGACACCTTTTTATTTCATGTTTATATCAATTTTTTATTTTTTAAACTTAATCCACGTATAATCCACATGGAAATGATGTATTTGTATTTTTATTTAATTATCATACCAGCTCAACAAATCACTAATGGTCTAACGACAGTTAACCCGTGGTGATCACATCTTAATTAAATAAAAAAGAAAATGATCATATATTATGTTTTTTACCTGCTTAGTGAGGAAAAGTGAACAAAACATAAACATCAGTTATCAGTCATGTAGTTAACCCAATCCACGTGGAAATTAAGTATTTTCTATTTTATTTAATTATCGTGCCAGTTCAGCAAATCGTTAATGGTCTAACGACAATTAACTCGGGGTGACCACATTTTAATTAAATAAAAACGAAAGTGAACATATATTATGTTTTTTGAAATCAGTAAGAAAAAGTGGACAAAACACAAATGTAAGTGGTCAATTATGTAGTTAACCCTAATTTAAATTATAATAAGAACATAAAAACAATTGTTCATTAATAATATTTTCATGTGGAATAAATTCTTATATAATTTTTCAACGATTATTATGTATTATTTTTAAAATGTGACTTGAATATATAAATCTTGAACACAACTAATTACCTGAATTTTTCTAATTCAATCCTTTTATTTTGGAAACGTATTAATATGATATAAAAAGATGCATGATAATGATGATAATGAACATGTAGGAAATTTTCTTGTAATTTCAATAATAACAGTAAAAGACAGAGAGAAAGGAGAATAAAGAAAATAAAAAAGATTTCAACAATGAACACTGAACTTAGAGAGAAAGTAACCGTAGCCAAAGGTTTAACAAAATAGCATATACAAATCCAATCCTTAGGTCATTTTAACTTATTCATACTAATATTTCAGTAATATAATTAAAATAAAGTCCCACGAAATGATTCGATAATATCTTCAAATGATCCTCTTGACATAATTTTTCATAACCTCATTCAATTCTTGATTCATAACATTACCCCACCTCCAAACAGAACCTTGTACTCAAGGTTTGACATAAGATATCCTTTGAGTGATTGCTTCATATGTTGCTTTAAATATACGAAGCAGAACACTGGATTATATCACATTAGCCACTTTTTCTCCGGAAGACCAACATAATCCTTGTGTTAGGATATTAGTAGTCATTTTTGGAGATCCTTTCAAGAAAGTCATAGGCTTCGTTTTAAGACTTGTCCAACAATCCTCCATTGGCAGAGACATCTACAACCATCCTTGTTTGCATGTTAAGACTATTGTAAAATATCTTTATTTGTGTCTAATGTTGGAAACCATGCATCGAGCATTTGCGCAATAAATCTTTAAATCGCTCCAAAACTTCATATAAGTTCTCATCTTCCAGTTGCGTGAAAGATGTGATGTCATTCATCAATCTTGCATTCATGAAGGGAGGATTAAATCGTAACAAAAACTTTTGAGCAAGCTCATTCCATGATGTTATAGATCCAGGCAGCGACGAATTAAGTCACGTCTTTACTTTATCACGAAGAGAGCAAGGAAATAATTTCATCTTCAAAACGTCCTCGGGAACTCCTTGTTGAACGAATGAATCGCATAATTCCATGAATGCTCACAAGTGTGCTCTAGGATCCTCGGTGAATGAACCATTATATTGTTCCATACACTGTAGCATTTGGAACATAATAGGCTTCAACTTGAAGTGCCCAACATGGATGGCAGGTCTAACGATGCTAGGATTCAGATCATCTAAGGTCAGCACAACATGCTCTCAGATTGGCCTATTGCGGTCATCAATGTTGTAGCTATTTTGTGGTATTGGAACATGTTGTAAAGGCGAGACACCATATTGAGCCATGTTTAGTTGTTGTTCATATTGTTTCCTACTTCGATAGATGGTTCGCTCAATTTTCGGATCAAACGGTTCTAAGTCCTCGTTGTTGCTATGTGTCATGCACCAACAATGCTACACTAAAAAGAAAGTACCTACAAAAAGAATAAGGAAAAAATTAGTGAAAACAAAGAAAACAATTCTAATGCAATATCATTTCTCCCTGACAACGGTGCCAAAAACTTGATGCTTTGAAATTGTTACAACATTCAATGCAAGTGCACGTGTCGTATATCAAGTAATAAAGTAGAAACTACATTAGTTTCGGATGTGGAACCCAAATAGAGTAAGGAATTACAACTTATAATTGTTGATCCTTTGCAAAAGATAAGTTTGGAATGAAATATTGATAGGTTTATAGCAAAAGTAAAAATTCAGTGTAACACCCTACTGATAACTCCGTAAAAAGGACACATTTTGGGACATTTTCACTTAAGTTATTGAATGTCTAAGAGCCCATTTAGGATCATTTAGATGCATTTAGGAGCATATAGTTGCATGAGGTGGAATTCTATTTGCCGTGGCATTTTATTTTGTTATCAGTGTTGTTTTATGGGGAAGGTGTTTGTTTGATGATGTGCATGATTTGATAGCAAGGAAAAGAAAAAAAAGGAAATGCCATGGCATAAGAAGATTGCTGAGCAGAATGAAAATGCCGAGCTGGATTGGCATTTCGAGAGCGAACAAAATGAAAGAAGATATTTTTGGAGCCAGTTGTCCCTGTTTTCACGGGATCTCTGATCATGACCGAGAAATTCGGATCTTTGATCATGACCGAGAAATCTGCCTAGATCAGCGTAGATCCTTACCTGCCCAGTCAACCACCCAGGCTGGACCATTGCCAGCTGCCCAGCAGAATCACTGCCAGTTCTACCCGATCATCACGTGAATTAAGCATGATTTGGGGTATATTTGGAATTTTGACATAAATCTTTAGGGTTTTTCTCCCCCTATAAATATATGATGAAGCCACAATGTTAAAAGACTTTTAGTTCCAACCACATTTGATCTTAAAAAAGTTATAGAGAGAAAGTCTCATCTTTCTCCGTCAATCCCACTTGCTGTGGCATTTCTCCTTGACTAGCAAAAGGGAGTGGCGTTCTAAGCATCCGAGATGAGCTAATCCGTTGGGAGCAGTCCTTGGTGGCCGAGGAAGGCATTTGACACTGCACATCGAAGGCTTTCTCTCCTCCCCTTAGTCCTTGCTTTTATATTTTGTTGTTGGGTTGTAAGGAACGAATGAATCTTGCTTTGTGCTTGTTGATTTCGAGCCCCACCATGAACTAATCCTATTTGGTGGGAGTTCGCATGGTTATTTAAGTTGTTATTTTAATGAATGGTTGTTATTTCATGCTTTATTCTGTTTTGTTTGTGAGACTTAAAGCCTTAAGGTTGTAGGAGCTACGAGAGTAGCCTTTCCTTAGGAGGGTTCATGAGGTTCGAGAGAATGCCTTGGCAATTTATCTTTAGACTTCGAGAGAAGCTAGGGAGGAACTACATAAACAACGGGTTCTAGGTAGTAACTAGGCCTAATCCACCTTAGAGATAAGGCTAGGATTTCATTCGACTAAAAGGAGTTGGGTATAAACGATAGGTTAGATGTTAATGCTGCCGCAAAAAGGTATTGCCGAGACATATCCTATTAGCTGAACCAATAGGGTCACTGCTAGGGCTTACGCCAATCGGTTTGGCCAGGGCATCTTTAGTCTGTCGAGTCCCTTACTAGAGATAGCATAGGACACATCAGTAGACTCTGTCGGGCAGGGTAAGCATAGAAGAAGCACCATTCAGAGAAATAAACTTAAGTTTTCCTTGTGTCTCTCATCACTCATTTCCATTGCTGCTTGTCTTGTGAGAAAGCTAAGAAAGCTAAAGTCCTACATATATTAAATCTAGTATTTGCATTTTATTTTGCCTTGCATTTCCATTTGTTTTCACGTATCACAATTTAATTTGCCACGACATATCCATCTGCTACCACACTATCACCACTACATTTCCACTACGTCCATTCCATTTTGCCACTGCATTCTCATCTGTATATACCATAACTAACTTTACTTAGGTGACAAAGTAAAGTGCCTTGACAAACCTATTTGATTTCCCCAATTCCCTGTGGAGACGATACTCTACTTATCACTTTATTACTTGTTCGATTGTGTATACTTGCACACATATCCGCATCATATTTTAGTACTCACAAACAGCGGACAAGTTTTTGGCACCGTTGCCGGGGAATTGCAACTGGAAGTCAAATTGATTTGTCATAGCATTTTTATATTACTTGTGTAAATTTTTTTTTCTTTTAGTTATCTTTACTTTATATTTTCTTTAATTTTTTAGATTTTTTCGAGTTTATGACCAGAAGCAACCCTGAAGAACCATTGGAACCTATTGATCCTGAAATTGAAAGGCTCTTTAGACAAAGAAGACGAGCACAACGTGTCAATATGTACCAACTCGGAAATCAGGGCATTGGCCATGAGGGTGATCAATATGCCGAGGCAAATCCAAATGCTGGGAATGCAGCTAGGCCTCGGGCTATTCGTGATCATTTAAATCCAATCTTAGAGGATCTCAACCCTGGAATTGTGGCACCCGATATTTAGGCAGCCCATTTCGAGCTGAAACCTGTCATGTTCAACATACATGTTAAACTCTATAGGGCAGTTTGGGGGCATGCCAAATGAAGATGCCAGACAGCATATTCGTAACTTCTTGGAAGTGTGTGATTCTTTTCGCCAACAAGGGGTGCACGAAGATGTTCTGAAATTAAAGCTATTCCCATATTCCCTACGAGACAGAGCAAGGGCATGGTTGAGTGGAGTTCCAGCAGGTTCTATGGAGTCGTGGATAGATCTGTGCAAATATTTTTTGCTGTGTATAATCCTCCGAACATGAACACCCAACTTAGGAACGACATTGCTTCATTCCGTCAAGCTGATGATGAGTCGATGCATGAGTGCTGAGATAGATACAAAGCATTGCTTCGCAAGTGTTCAAACCATGGTTTTCAAGATTGGACACAAGTAGTGATGTTCTATAATGGAGTAAATGCACCCACAAGGATGATGCTAGATGCCTCGGCAAATGGGACGTTACTGGATAACTCACGAGCAGAGGCATTTGACATCTTGGATAGGATTGCTACTAATGATTATCAGTTTCCCTCAACTAAGCATGGGTTTGGGCGTAAGACACATGGAGCTCTCGAGCTAGATTCTAATAATGCCGTGTCAGCCCAACTTGCTGCCATTACCAACATGCTAAAAAATTTACAAAGGCCAAGTGAGGTAAGGGAAGCGAAGGCAGCCTGTTCAGTTTGTTTATTATGCCAAGGTAATCACAATGAGAATAATTGCCCAACCAATCAAGAATCCATCAACTTTGTTGGCAATTTTAATCGAGGCAATAATAACCCCTATTCAAACACCTATAATCCTGGATGGCGTCAGCATCCAAACTTTCTTAGGGAAATCAAGGAAACAGCACTGCTCAACAACCAGCTCGTCAGCAGAATTTTAATGATTCCCAGGGCTATCAATCGAATATGCCATGGCATAATCAAAATAAGGGAGGGCCATCTTCATCAAATACTAGTTCTTTGGAGGCCACAATGCAAGAATTCATTGCAACAACAAAAACAATGCTGCAAGACCACTCGACCTCTATAAAAAATCAAGGAGCTCTACTCCAGAGCCATAGTTCATCGTTAAGGGAACTAGAGAGTCAAGTAGGTTAGATTGCCGCGGCATTACAAGAACGCAAACCCGGACATTTGCCAAGTGACACTGAAGTCACCAAACCTCATAGCAAAGAACAATGCAATGTGCTAACTCTCCGAAGTGGTACACAAATTAATATAGAAGATAAGTATGGGGGAAAACCGAAGGAAGATTCACCCCCCACAACCAGTCAAGCTGATAAAGAACTACAGGAGAAAGCACCGAAGGAAGAAGATAAATCTGAGGGTTCATCAAGTAACAAAGCTGAAGGGGCAAATAAAAATGCCACGGGTAACTTCTGTTCGCACCCCATCATTACAAGAAGCCAGACCCCCACCTCCTTTTCCGCAAAGACTGAAGAAACATAACGAGGATACTCAGTTTAAAAAATTTGTTGACATTCTGGGTCAACTGCAGATCAATGTTCCTTTTCTTGAAGCAATGGAACAAATGCCCACATATGCTAAATTTCTAAAAGAAATCGTCACCAAGAAGAGAAAGGTTGAGCAGTTCGAAACAATTGCCACGGCAAAAGAATTTTGCTCTTCCTTAAGCAAGCTACCACCAAAAAGACGTGATCCGGGCAGCTTTATCATTCCATGTTCGATTGGAAACAAATTTGTTGGAAAAGCACTGTGTGACCTTGGCTCAAGTGTAAACTTGATGCCTAAGTCGATTTTCGTAAAATTGGGGATAGGAAATGCGAGACCTACTTCAGTCATCTTGCAACTTGCCGATCGTTCACATGTGCGTCCAGAAGGGCGAATTGAAGATGTCATCGTGAGGGTTGACAAGTTCGTT